GGCATGATAAATAATTATGTATATCCACCATTTAATGTGCATTTAAAGGTTCAAAGTACAAAGAAACCCATGACTCTTACTGGTTTCTATCAAGTTTTGGTTTCATTTTTCCAGGTTTTGGATACTTTTACTGACATCTCGCCAATACAGTGGCGGTAAATAGAATTGCTCATCTCACAGCAATGCAACATTTGGTTAAATACAACCCAAACAGTTTCAATGGATACCACCAGGGGTGCTGTATAGGGGGGAAAAGTTAGGACAATTCCAAGGGCCCATGACTGACAGGGCCCCCAAAAAATAGGTAAAAACTAATATAAAATTATTAAACCATCATCATTCAGTATATTCAAATATAATAATACAATATCCCCATTGACCAAAAAGTAAACCATAAATCCATATTGACCGGGCTCTTGGTGACTCAGGCTGAGCGAGAGCCAGTGATAGCTGTCAAATGGCATGGCTATGGAGATTGGATATTACTACAGACATAATGCCCACAGCCTAAAAAACTGAGAACAAGATGTATGGCTGGACTGCCAAAAACGTGTTGAGCTGTTATTTGAGAGAAATGTTTGGGTTTCCAGGAGTCCTTTGTTCTTATTTATACCTTTTTAATTTGATGTCACTGGTACTGTTAGTTTGTTATGACCATATTCCAAACCTCAAAACCTTTTGATTTAGTGATCACTTGATCTGTTTTGTAGCACTATAATAACCCTGGTGTGGAAATTCCATTTTACATGTCAACTTTATTTTCTTGTTGGCATATATGTGCAGCTAAGTTAAAAAATCTGCTGTTTTCATTGTTTTGAGAGGATGATGTTAATTTATTTTGATTGAAAAGTTTTTTTTTTTAATCTTTCATTAATAATAAAAGAGAATTTTCCATTTTAAAATGTTACAATAAAAATACATTGAGACTGTAAAAGATAGCCTTTAGCACCTTTTTTGTGGTTGCTTTTAATCTTGCATCAAATAGTGAACTGCATACTGTATGCAGACTTGCATGCATGTACAAATCACCAGAAGTAAATATTGTGCTAGTACTAGTATTGAACTACAAGAAGCAAAACAGTTGCAAGTCTTTAATTAGAGTTATGTAAAGCTTTTGATGGGACAGTTAGGTCCTAGAGATGTGGTGATAACAGCTGCACAGATGGGGTCATGGGGCCCAAAATTCCTGGCGGCGCCCCTGGATACCACCACAGGCAACTTTAATTTGCTGAACAAACTCTTTAACTTTATGGATCGAAAGCAAATTGAGTCGTATAACTTTTATGCATTAAATAGTTTTTCAAAGGTTTTCTGTGCTTTGAGATTTATTGACAAATTCATTATCAGTCATCATAAGACTGGGAATGTGGAAAGGTGACTATGATTTCTACTACTATTATCACTGACTATAAAAGACCTGAAAAGCAGTTTTCGCTGTAAATAAAACGCACCATTTTAAAGTGTTGGTGCTCCAAATTTACAATAAAATGTATTTTCTCACTTAATTCAATTCAATTCAGTTCAATTCAATTTTATTTGTATAGCACCAATTCATAACAGAAGTTATCTCAGGACACTTTTCAAATAGAGCAGGTGTAGACCGAACTCTTTAGAACATTATTTACAGAGACCCAACAGTACCACCATGAGCAAGCACTTGGCGACAAGGGCAAGGAAAAACTGCCTGTTAAAAGGCAGAAACCTAGGACAGATCCTTCGGCTCTAGGTAGGTGGTCGTTTGTCTCGACCAGTTGGGGGAGGGAGAGAGAGAGAGAGAGAGAGAGAGAGAGAGAGAGAGAGAGAGAGAGAGAGACAGACAGACAGACAGACAGACAGACAGACAGACAGACAGACAGACAGACAGACAGACAGACAGACAGACAGACAGATTTAAGCAGCCTAGTTGGGATCGGGTCTAATAGACAGGTTGATGGCTTCGATGTAGAAATTATTGAAGTTAACTGGTGAAGATTGATAGCAGAAAGACAGTCTAAATATATATCTGAGTTTACAGGAGTTAATGTACCTGAACTTGGAGAGCCACTGATAACTGTTGATGGCAGTTGGTGATTAATTTTCTCTCTAATAGTAATAATTTTATTATAAGAGAAGCTCATAAAGTCGTTGCTACTTAAGTTTATGGGGATATGTGGCTCAATAGAGCTGTGGCTCTCTGTCAGCCTGGCTACAGTGCTGAAGAGGAACCTAGGGTTGTTCTTATTTTCTTCTATTAGTGCTGAATAATAGGCTCCTCTGGTGTTACAGAGGGCCTTTCCATAGGTTTTAAGATTGTCTTGCCAAATTGAGCAATATTCTGATAATTTGGAAGAGCGCCATTTCCTTTCAGGTTTCCTAGATTTTTGCTTTAATTGGCGGGTTTGGTGGTTATACCAAGGTGCTAGTCTCCTATGTTTTAATAATTTCCTTTTTATAGGAGCGATAGAATCTAATGTTGATCGTAGTGAGCTTGCAGCACTATCAACAAGATTATCAATTTCGGAGGGACTATAGTTATTATAGGACTGTTAAATTCAGACATGGCATTGAATTAAACACTGAAGGAATCTCCTCCTTAAATTTAGCTACAGCACTGTCAGATAGACATCTGCTGTAGGAAGTTTTGCCTAATGGCATATAATCTAATAGTATGAATTGAAAAGTTATTAAATAATGGTCAGATAGGAAGGATTATGTGGGAAGACTATTAAATGTTCAATATCAATGCCATAGAACAAGGTCAAGAGTGTGATTAAAACAATGAGTTGGTTTATTTACACTCTGACAGAAGCCAATTGAGTCTATTAATGAGATAAATGCGTTACTAAGGCTGTCATTGTTAACATCCACATGAATATTAAAATCACCTACAATAATTACTTTATCTGATTTAAGGACTAAACTTGATAAAAACTCAGATATAAGATATCAGATATAAAATCAGAGTACGGTCCAGGAGCGCGGTACACTATAACAAATAGAACTGGCTGCAGTGTTTTTCAGGATGAGTGAGAAAGACTAAGAACAAGGCTTTCAATTGAATTATAATTTAGTTTAGGTTTAGGGTCCATTAAAACGCTCGAATCATATATGGCTGCTACTCCACCTCCTCGGCCAGTGCCTCGAGGAATTTGAGTATTAATATGATGGGGGGGGGGTGGATTCATTTAGGCTAACATACTCCTCGTGGGACAACCAGGTCTCAGTAATACAAAGTGAATCAGTATCATAATCTGATATTAATTCATTCACTAAAACAGCTTTAGAGGACAGAGACCTGATATTTAACAGTCCACATTTCATACTCCTATTTTGTGCTACTGAGGAGTTAGTATTTATTTTTATTAGATTTTTATGTTTAACTCCTCTTGTTTTTATTTCTTTAAATAATTTAGGTGGTTGGGGGACAGACACAGTCTCTATGGGGTTTTGGGTGGGTGACTGTTCTAGTGGAAGCACAGAGAAGTGTGTAAGACAGCAGCTCTGCTTCCTGTTCCCAACTCTGAACAAAAGGTCTCTCACTTTTTCTCTCTTCCCAGAAACAATATCTTTTTCACTAACAAAGACCACGCCAACGCGGATGTGGAAAGGTTTATTGCAGATAATGGATAAAGGTGAACCAATATGATAAACTGTAGGAGGGATGAAGGGTCGAGGTTTGAGGGATAAAGGGGAATGGGAAGGAAGGGTGAGGAATGAACTGATGGGGGAGAAATCATGTTTTTGGACGTATGTATGGATGTATGGAGGAGTTCAAGCAAGATGATGGGAGGGAACCGAGTGGGTGTTGAGACTCTGAGTGGGGGGAGCCGTCTCTTCTTATCTCTTATTTAGAGCCACAGTGGTTCCTGTATTTAAAGACGAGAGAGAGAGAGAGAGAGAGAGAGAGAGAGAGAGAGAGAGAGAGAGAGAGAGAGAGAGAGAGAGAGAAGGGGAGAAAAAAGAGAAGAAAGGGTTTGGTGGGAAGAGATGTGAAAACTGAGTCAAAGAGGGAGTGAACGGATAAGGTGTGCTTAATTACGTTTTGTGTGTAAATTAGATGAGTTTGAGGCGTTGTCTTTGTTCCCGAACCTAGTTATAAAACTTTATTTATGTACTGCTGTTATTGGGACTATTTCTTTCGTAGAAAGCAGGAAGCTGGAAATTCTCTAAGGAAATAGTCACTATGGAAACTGTTGACAGCCCACTTACCTCCATTGTGTTGGGCCAAACACTCATGTTTCAAACTTCATACCATTGACTTTGTTGTTACAAGGTTGTGGTCTGTCCTAGTCCAAAATACGATAACCTGTGACATTTTCTTGGGTTTTTTTCTCCCCCTCACCACACAAGACATTAATCAATAATTTTCAAACTAGTACTCCTTAATACTCTAAACTGATATTCTTATACTTGCACTTATTATATTCTATATTTGCTCTCTTTCCTACTCAGAATAAATACAGTATTATCTTATCTTAAAATTATAATAGAAATTTAATTTTAAATGTTTCACATGTGCATGAAAGTTAAGCTATCTCAACATGCTCTAAATATGTATGTGTAACTTTTAGACAGGATGATACAAAAGGAGCAAGATTTTCTTAGGATTTCAGTTAACTAACACTTTAAGAGTTTGTGTTTCAAGATCTTCATCTGTGGATGTTGTGAGAACATCACTGAGTTTAAAATAAAAACCCTTGAATGGTGTTTTGGTGACGTGTTAGTCATACAGCCCAGAGGACAGACATATAAATAACGTCTGTAGGTTCTGCTTTGACTGACAGTCCAACACACTATAAAACCAACATTTCATATATTATCTGTCTAAAAAACTGGTTGACATATCTATACCAACCCATCCAGTCATCAAACATTTTTTAAATACCTAAGCCAAACAAAAGGAAACGGAATATGCTGAAGCTTTTAATTCACTGCTTTGTGTTATTTCAGAAGAGGTCTCACGGACGAAGGAAGGATGTTCTGATAATATGATATTTTAAGAGAAAACATTGCACACAAGATGAATTCTCTCTTTTATTGTCGTTCTTTTCCGATGCACATAAACATTATGTATGACATGCTTTGCCAGTTATACAGTTATACAAACAGTTAATGATCACAGGAGTATTTGTACACGTCTTGATTCCCTAGGACTGACTGTTTAGCATCTTGCACATTTGTAAACATTATCAAAGATCATAAAATGTAATATGACAGAAAAAAAGGAAATAAAATGCTACTGCTCATGTAATGCTTTCTAAATAAACTAACCTTATGATAAAAAATAAAAATAAAAGTGTAACATCATAGCTTAGAGATGTCTCCGTAAAATGATCAATGCTTGTGTTGTTGCATACTGGAGTATATACTTTGTCTTAAAGGAGTATTTCAACATTTTGGGAATGTGCTTCTTTGCAAATTGACCTAAAGACTGAACCCACCCTGTGCCGGGTTAACTTAGCTTAGCTTAAAGACCAAAAACAAGGGGCTAACCTGGGTGTCTCCCAGGGTAACAAAATCCGCTTACCGGCACCTCCAAAATTCCTAGCATGTTATATCTTGCCTTTTTAATCCGCACGTTTTAGTTTTTGTACATTTTGAAAAAGCCAAGCTAGCTGTTTTCCCATCTGATTACACTCTTCATCCTCTTTTTATCTCTTTTTTTCAGGTTTGGTTGCAGAAGTAAGAAAAACCTATTCAACCACTGACATTTGTAACAGACTAGAATAAACTAAAGCAAAGAAACCTATTCCCTTAACTCTTTCTTTAAAGAAAACATAAGAGAATCCTGCAACAGAAAACATGCAAAAACTGACACAAATGATCTGATAAAAATAGCAAGTTGCAAAAGTTTGTAGGTCATGAATCCCTGCACCAAGACTGCACAACACTTTTCTCCTCAGTTTCTTCCAAACCAGCGGGGCAGAAACATGAGCATATAGGGTAGGAAGTTCTTCAGTGTAAATTTCCACTGCTCCTTGTGCAGCCTTTGGGCCCCCGCAGGTATAGGTGTAGTGTGTCAGATTCCAGGCCTCCACTGCTGCAGGTGTAGGTGTAGTGTGTAAAATTCCACTGAGTGCCGCAGAGAGCCACCATTTTCAGCTGCGAGCGGGTCTCGTGATAGCACATCACAACTCCACCCAGCCATCCCTCTCTGGCTGATTTCACAGTGTGGGGCCGTTAGAGGAGTCCTGCAGCATGTTGGGTTCGCTGAGGGAGGAAATGGCTCGAGAAAAACAAACTGTGCCTATATCTAAAAAGCAGCCTGGAACAACATGGTCGGGAAAATAAACACACCTTTATCCCGATGGAGAGAGAGAGAGACAGAGAGAGAGAGAGAGAGGGCTGTTTCTATGGTATCAAGTTTTGTTTTTCCAAAATGGTGGCTTTAATATGAGACACTCCCTACAGGCAAGCAGGGAGTGCTCTTTCCCTGTAGGTGGATAAGCATCATTGGGATGTTTGAGGTATCAGAGGGGGTGCACTTGGCGTGTTTAGGAGTTGCTATCAAACAAAACCAATGGTTACAAGCTCCTCTTCCATGTTTTCAAACAGGATTACATGTTTAGACGAGCCATCCGGTGAAAAAAAACAGAAAAAACATGGAGATTTGCATGCTCTGCAGTTGCACGTTCAATATGGAAAGAGTTCAGCTGACACAGGACAGGTGGGGCTTCTGACAGTGCATTCACAAAGCTCAAAGCACAATTTATAAACAGCATGGCTGCAGAAAAAGTCATAGGAAACATGCAAATACAACTTTGCTCGAGGCAGCATGAACCGAAGCCAAGAAGTGTCCGCATGAATTAGGAATGCTGCAACTGGGGAAGAAAATTCACATGATGCATGAAAGTGAAGTGAATGAGCAGATGAAAGTATTCACTTCTTTCAAACTAACAGAGATAGAGAGATAGCACAGTTTAACACAGGAACTCTCAGTAGATATCAAAAACAAAAGAAAAATGTTAGCTCTAACAATCCAGCCACACTGCAGTGTTTAGTAAGTGTTGATTTTTTTTCCAGTCTTTCTCGCAGCCAGCAGGGAAAAGACAGACATCAGCTGTTTGTGCTCAATAAACAGCGTCAGTTTTCCCAGCAGCCACATTCATGCAAATAAAGCCAGATGAAAAGTCTCACTCTGTTGTACAGGAACACAATCATAAGGCTTGTACCAATTAACCTTAAGGTTCTTTAGAGAATTAAAAGTATGATTAAACGTATATAGAAAAGAGATCAAGGTGATAGCATTTTCCAAAAAGAAAATGCTTTTCTTTAAGACAGAATCTACAAAAAGTCCACTTTATCCAAAGTCTTCGATCAGGCTACTAGTTATTATTTCCCAGGTGATTCCAGGGTTGTACCCGAGGATCTCTTTTGAGAAACTTCTTCTTCGGGATCTCACTGAGGGAGAAGGGAAGAGAGCCGCATGAGGGATTCTCCTTCCGGGACACGATGCAGTCCTTGATGGCTTCTTTGATCACCTATAGGGGAAAATATCAATCAATGTATCAATCAATATTATAAAATCAGTGAGGAAAAATAACATGAAATCCATAACAGGGATTTTTAACTGGTTATGAAACAGTCTCCATTTAATACTAATGCCTCTATATGACCTACATAAACAAACGAGACCATCAGTACAGCGAGTAGATTGCATATTTGTATTTAGTTTACTTTTGATGTGATATTTTATGGCTATTGCTATATTCTGCCTTTCCCACGCCTTTGTTATAGCTGCATTTCCTTTTCTTTGTGGTAGATTCCATCATATTCTGCCTAATTGCGCAGAGCTTGTGACTTTCTGGTGACTCGCAATTCTCCCTGTTGGGCGTAGATTTTAGTGTTTCGCAGTGGTTTTACTTTTTAAGGTATGTAAGTCAGCTAATGACAGCCGATGACACACAGCAAAGGGCTACAAGTCGGACTCAACCTGTATCTTTAGAGGACATACAAGATAAATCAAACACATTGCATCATGTTTAAATCCTTACTCAGCAGGGAAGTGACTCAGATACAGTAAGTGAAAGTCAATCTGACCTTTCACAGTGGCACACCTACTGTAAACCAGATATGACTTGTACTATCCGGTCGGGGATTTAAAATGTTTTGCAAACTTAGATTGATTACTTACACCAAAAATGTAAAACTTCCCCGCTGATGACACTGAATGAAAATAGATTAACAATGAATGACTAAGGGAATTAATGTAATTCCAATATCCCCTTTTATAAACTGCAACATACATTGCTATTCCTTCCGGTTGTTTAATGTCATAAAACCTTATCCACGCACAGGGGCGGAACTGACCTCCAGGTTGTTGAGAGTGTTGAACTCCATCAGATCATGGAGTCTGGTGAAGGCCTCGTTGGAGTACTGGAAGTTAAAAGTGGAGAATGGTGACTCAGGGTCGTCAAAGATGTCAAAATCAGCCAGCTCCTTTTCCTTTTCAGTCTCTCTGGGAACACCTGTGAATAAATTAAAAAGAGAGTTAATTGATTAAGTCAATTTCACGAAAATTCTGACAGATCCACTGGGATGATAGTAGGGACAAAATACATAATAAATGTTGAGCTTGTTCAGTGTGGGAATGATCATTTTTGAATCAGAAATGTAATTTTTAATCAGAATCAGAATCAGAATTATGTTTATTGCCAAGTAGGTTTTTACACCTACGAGGAATGTGTCCTGGTGCAACTGAATAAAATATCAAATTCATGATGAGAACAAGGTTAGTAGGCCAGGGAATCTCTTCAGAACTACAGTATTTAGTGCTGTAATTGTGGAGCCGTAGTCAAAACTCAATATTCAAAACAGTCATTTTTAACATTGCTCCTGAATTAGTTTCTATTGTATTATTTCAGGTGTAAAGATGAAAGGCCGTGCATGGGGGAAACAAGTTGTGCTTTGGAAAAGCAGCAAGCGTACAAAAGTAAACCGGTGGGAACAGGAAGTCCATTTATGGTTTCCATCAGATGTGTTTTACGTTTGAGTGCAAAAAGCTTATGTAACGTACATAAACAGACAGCGGAAGTATGTGGGCTGATGACCTACTGAAGGTAAAGAGGAAGCAGTGGAGATGAGATGTGGAGATGTGGAGATGTGGTGTTTTGTGTGTCTTTGTATGGTTCATGATATATGGCCTGTTTACACATAGAGCTCTCCCACTGGAGCGAGAGATTCCCTACCAGCACCTGGCTCCTTAAGGAACCATCATTCAACCGAGCAGCAGCTCATAAAACACTGAACACACTGTGATTCATACCCACGGGAGTGCACACACTCACATTCTGCAGGTATGTTTAAAAGCAGGCATTTTCAGCACGAAACCACTGTGACCTTAAGCAGAGACTTTTATTTATTGGGGTCACTCAGATGAGGGGCCCAACTTTTGACTAAGCATAAAAAAACTGCCTACTGACGGAATATGGTTGAATTCCAGTGTGCAATTTCGAGGAAGAAATGCCTCATGTGCCATGACGTACATCATAATTATTACAATAATACAAAGAGTCTTTTTTTTTCCCTTCCCACGCATGCTGTGGAAACCTCCACGTGTGCACATACTTACCAGGTGCCTTGAATGTCCTGAAGTTGATGTTGACCAGGACAAAGTGGATGACAGTTGGGCAGTTCTTTTCTCCTTTTTTTGGTTTGAAGACGTAGCATTCCTTCAGGCCCTCGCGGTCGAACACTTTGGGGTCGATCTTGGGGAATGGGAGTTTGTTCATTCGAGCCCACTTTTCTGCCAACAGGAGCTCCTGTGCCACACATTTAGAAAGAAAAAAAAATGTCATGATTTTTTTCTGCTAGCACAGATCATTTTTAGCAATTCACGACCGTAAAAAGAGTCAGACTCTGACCTTGAATGGGGGACTGGAGTCGCTGGGTCGTGCAGAAAAGTCAAAGGAGATGATGAGGTCTACACCACGCTGCGGCCGCAGGATGAGAGGGTAGGGAAGGTTGTAGGTCAGGCCGCTGTCCACTATATGGATCTTCTTACTCTTCACATCCAGAGGCTCATAAATACGATCAAACTCATCTGGGTCTGAGAAAAAATTGACTTGCTTAAATAAGTAAAACAGGAGCATGATTGAGAAATTTCTTTTGTCTACAGCCAAATTTTGTTCCACATGATCGGACCCAAAAGATGTGTGTGTAATGACTCATCTGGGCTGAGTATGTGAATTTTTTTCATACCACACCTTCCAATACCGGCAAAGCTCAATTACTCTGCCAAATATCTGTGTTGTAGAAACAAACCTTTTTTTAAAATCTAAAGCTTCCTTAATCATCATATTTATAATGGCTTAAAATGATAAACAATGTCCTGTCTGCTGCAACAATGAAATCTGAAAGCAGTGAGTCCTGACAATCACTTTGTCTTACCTGTGACGGCATCCACCTCCTCCTCAGGTGTAGGGGCTTGGTACGTGACCTCATTCGCTGGAGAGAATGGGATGCTGGTGTTCAGGTTCAGGCCCAGCATGAAATTATGAACCTGATAACAGGATGAGTTGTGTTACAGAGAGTAAAAGGCAGGTAAGGCAGGTTGATGTGAATTTGAATATAGGAAAAGTGAAACAAGAATGCAGTTAGAGCACATGCAGTGTTTTGTATGGAGTGTTATATAATTTCGTGGTTTCCGGTAGAACAAGGAACATATTCAGATACCTTCCCCGCGCGGCCTTCTCTTGTGTTGAATAAAGAAGAGTCACTGAAGAGCGACGTAAACATTCGCTGAACCCAGCTAGCCTGAGCGGTGCGATGGTACTCGTCTTCTGCCTCCTGGTTCTCTGTCCCGCCTGAACATTAAATGATGGCATATAAAACACTGTCAGATGTTGTGTGACAAAGCATTCAACTGTTACTCAGAAAATTAACCTCTTCCTGTAATAAAACTGAAATAATAATAATAAATAGAAATTAAACTGCAACAAAATTAAATGAGGTTATTTAAATACCTAAAATACATAAACATTAAAAACAAACAAGATTATAAGAATGACATAACAAAAAAAGAAAAATTACCGGTTTACCTGCCAAAATGTAATGTAATCTACCTTTCCTACTTTGAAATGGTTGCTTTAATTTCGTCAGAAAGAACTGAAACTATATTCTAAGCCTTGTTTGACTGAAATCTGGCGGCAGCGCAGGTGTATTTACTGTGTCAAATGACGGAAACATCAGACAGTTCCTCAATGTTGCTAAAAAAAAAGGTGTCGAAGTATGCTGCTGCGTCATCAGTGTGTGAATGGGCGAATGTGGCATGTAATGTAAAAGTGCTTTGAGTGGTCGGAAGACTAGAAAGGCGCTATTCAAATACAGGTGCATTTACCATTTACCATCAGAAAAGCTCTGTACACTACCTTCCCAGCACCAAATGCAGTTACAGACACTAGTTAACACAGTGGAGCCTTTGGCAGCTAAGGAGCCAAATATTTCCCTCAGCAGTGCAATAGAAGGACAGTATATATAAGGTAGAGACCAAGTGGCAACCTCAGTGGCTGGCAAATGAAGCCAATATTAAAGCAACAGTAGTGATCAATCTCCAGAAATATTAAATTGCCCATTTTTGTGCAATGAAAAATGTTTTTCATCTTCAAGGGTAATTCATTTGAAACAAAAGTCATCTTATTCCACCCCTTCTCTTTCTTCCTCTTTCCTTCTATTTATAGCTTGCTTCTATTTCACTCACAGCTACAGCTCACACTTGCAGAGAAAAAAACGCACTAAATTCCTAAAATTCAACTTGTAGATCATTATTAATGGGATCATTAAACCAAAGACTTTTAAGTGAAAGCTTGATATATCAGCTCTTTTTCCTGACCTGACAGTAACCACGGTGGCTGTTCTGATGTTGCTGTGTCACTCTAACATTTGCAAATGGAAACATTAACACAAAAAAAAAAAAACTGTTAAGGCGTCAACTCTCCCTCAGACCGAACAACATATCAGAATGTTTACTGACACCATTCAAAAGCCACACGTCTCTGCTGCACCATTACGCTGCACAATGTGGTATCTGTTCGCAAGCTCCTTTTATGAATCATGCATGTCTTAGATCACCTTTGCGTGGCTCGTCGTCATTGTCCAGACTGTCTTCCCCAACGATGTGCTGTGGTTTGATCTGCTCTGTAAGACACAAGACACCTTCACTCAGGTTACAACTTCAACTTCAAAATTTCTTTTTTTATCACATATCAACACTGAACAGAATGTTTTGTTCAGCTGTGTGACATTATCAAATTTACTGTGTGTCTATTGTTTATCTATCAAAATAAGAGTCCTAAGAGAAATGCAATACACCTCATAAACTAATGCATTCTTAAAGTGGGTGGAGATGAACACTTTTATACAACCAATTCATTGTTTAAAGGTCACCCAAACAAATGCATTCAACCAAAACAAACATCCGATGAGCTGTCAGAATCATTTCAAGAAGTGGATACCTTCCCACTGTTGTGATAACACACACACAGCCATGCTAAACATTGGAAATCTTTTGAGATAATTTAAGGTTGGCTATTTTTGAAGTTCTGATGATACCTACTATGTGTGTAAAGATAATTCTAGCCGGAGACAAAGTGGGTAAAAAAATCTTTAAAATGAATAAATTATCCATATAGTGGCTGTTACGGAGCTTTTAATCATATCACACGATATTCCTCGGCAGGTCAAGAAATAACTTTCAATCTCAAATTTCAAATCTTAAAAGCGCTGATGAAGATCATGCAATTTGATCGAAAGCCAAAGCACAGCATCGGGGAGATTTTTTGGGATTACTGTGCTCTTCCAGTCAATCAAACAAATGTATTTAAATCTGTACAGTGCAGCTCACAAATAAATACATGTAGAAAGAGAAGCAGACGAAAAATTACCTAACTCCTCCTCCATGGTGCTGCCACCAACTGTGTCTTTGACTCCCAGCACTCTGTTGAACAGAATGGAGAAGGCGCTGCCCCACACGCCTGATAACAGTGAAAACATACTGTTAGTAGGTTTGCTCATGGTCTGACGGTTGTGTTTAGCAGCACAGTTGAAAACATCAACAGTTCTCACCCATCAGAAAATGAATAGGGTTTTCCTCGTATTTCTTGACAACAGTTCCCATGAAGAACTTGCTTCCGAACATGTCGGGGGTCATGAAGGTGCCGTACTTTGCCATCCCAATTTCATACGGGCTGAACTCCACCCAGTCTGCAGGTTAAAACTTCAGTGTTAATGCAACAGTAATGCAACACATGTTCGGAACCAATATGATCACCATAGTCCTCAAGTACCTGTCAAAACACATCATTCTGCATGTAAAGTCAATAAACGCAGTTATTGCACTGTACAAATTTACAAATGACACTGCTCACAGTGAGGCAGTAAATATAAAAAGTCTGGGTTTTCGGCAGCCTTAGAGGAAATGGCTACTTTCAATTCAGCATCTGGGGCATTACAGTCCCTCATGCCCCAAAAATACATTTCTGGTATTTTATATCTGACACCTAGATTGAAATTAGATTAAAAAGTGTGTCTGCAGTTGTCAAAAAGGTACGTAAATTGGTACTTAAGCACAACAGGATTCACACTACAGAGAGAGGGACGAACCACTGGGGTCATTAAGGGCCCGAAGCTTAATTTTGTCCCTGGGGGTTATTCCGACCCCGGCTACATTTCTCTCTATACCAACTAGTCATTGTGACGCATTTGCAAAATTTTTACAGCAACAAGCTGTCACATACATAAAAGCACTCAAACATACAAAACACATGGACAGATTCACATACAAGAAATACTTAAACCTCTTAAAGCCTTTTAGACAATAATTGAAGAACAATTTTGTCTATTTGAGTCACACTAGTAATGACTTAGCACTTGAGTTTTTTTTTCTTAAAGGCCAGTTTTTTAAGTTAAGCTGTAATGGTGAGAACTAACAATAGGAAATGTAATTCTATACCAGGAACGAATGTGGCCTCGCCCTGATGCATATCAAAGTGGTACTGCACAATACTGGCACTTCATTAACCACAAATAAATAGCTTTTTTTTTATTGTGGCAGTCGTGGCATAATTGTATCAAGGTTACTTCAGAGAAATATATACAAAGTATACTGGAGCACATCATAACCCATGTAATGAAGTAGAGGAACAAACTTTATTAAATATTGAAGTTAAGTTTGGCTGTTAGTTTACAAGGGAAGGGGGGTCAGAGGGCCCAGGTTTAAGAGTCATGGTTTGCTATTAACGGTAATGGTTGAAAGGTCAGCCTGTGCTTTTATTTTACTACCTTCCTTTGGTGTGGATATAATAAAATATGGTTATTTATGGTGGAGGATCATGCATTTTCCCCCTGTCACTCAGGGAGGCTTAAGGAAACACAGATAACTGGAGATTTCTGTTGTTCCTTTATTGTATTTTCTATTCAGTGTACAGCTGCTGTGCAAGCAACCTCAACCATGAGGAAGTACTGTACTACAGGGGACTAACCCAGACTCTGTCATGACCTTGTACTCACTACTCAGTTCCTCGATGTTGTTATCACAGAGCCGTCATTAGAGGACAGCTCACTTTGCATGTCGTCAAACTCATCTGATCATTTCTAGTTATTCATTACATATGCAAAATACTTCTCTGTGCGACATGGGGTACATGAAACACACAATTTAACGTAAAATGCACATGCAGATACTTGTAAAACCTATGATATTTACCTGCAAACATGAGCTCAGAAACATCTGGCTTGACATGTAGACATGTGAAGAGAGGAAGAGGACTCTGGGCCTGGTCTATTTTCTCCTGGATGCTACTTAGCTTGATGTCCATCCTCTGGCAGGAGAGAACACAGTCTATGAATCATTTACACTCACACTCTGCAGGTACTAAGAGTTTCATCTCATTGTCATTGTTATGAGGAAGTAAAATAAAAATGGAGGAGAAGAAATACAGAACAAAATGAAAATAAAAAGCATAAATAAACCTGGTGAGGGATGTGACTTCAAAAGAAAAAACAAACACAGATTGAGGGGAAGGAGAGCCATAAGGAGACGGAGAAATAAGGAATCCAATCAAAACTAACACAAACAGCTGTCAGGTGGCTCTTACCGAAGGTATAAGCGTCTCTCCTATGAGCATACCGAAGATATCGGTAAAGGTAACAGGCTGCCCTGTGGCCTTTTTGGTCCAGAGGGCCTGGATGTAGTTGGTGATGTGTTGGGGCAGCAACAGCCTCAGTGGGTTACCACTAACTCTCTTCATCAGCTCCTTGTTGATGTCCATTGGGCCCTTATTTGGAAAGTCTGGGTGAGAGTAGAGAGCAGACATGTACCTACAGGGATAAAGAGAAAAGAGCAATGTGTCTAAACTTCTGTCAGATCAGTCATTGCAAGAAAATCACTCTGCTCTTTACGGTTTATGCAGGAGGTACTGTACTTGTATCCAGTAAGTCACTCCATAAACATGAAGATGGAGACTGAAATAAGCCAGAGATGCTCACTTGATGACAGCTTCATACCAGCAGAGGAAGGCAGGAAAGTTTCCCAAAGAAGGGAGGAGGCAACACTGAGGGAGAGTCGGAAAGAAAGAGAGAAAGGGCAAAAGAAACATGGCAGTAATAACAAAGAAAAAGATAAAGAGAGAAAGTGTCTTTAGAAACAAAAGGGGTCAGAGAAAGAGAAGGTTAAAAAAAAAAAGAAAAGAGGAGAAGAGGAGAAATTAAAACTGACCATGTCGATCCGGAGAGGCCAGAGACATATGTGGCACAATCCAGGACCCCAGACTCAATCAGGGCTTTCATCACACCTGCAAAGCCGATCATGGCACGGAAACCGCCTCCTGAGCCTGCTATGGCGATCACCGGCACCTATACACACACACACACACACACACACACACACACACACACACACACACACACACACACACACACAGGGAGAGAGTCATAATGTGAAGAAAAAGAAGACAAAGGCATACTTAATCACATAATTACATACTACACAGCTTAGAGTCTCACATTCTTTCTATCTCGTTCTTTCAGGTTGAGTAACTTCCCTCCAGTGCCTCTATACAGTGAGGGTGCCATGCCAGTTGCGTCAGACTTTGAAAAATGTTTGCGCCTCTGGATTTTCAACTATTTCATAATTCTCATGGTGCAATATTACTTCCTGTCTGCAGGATATGTTTATCTCTCGGTCAGTCCTGAATATTTAGATGTATTTCCACCAGAGCCCTCATGGATAGGGAGAGATGTTGTAGTATAGTGGAGAGCAGAAGCTGGTTATCTCATTCCTCTGGAGCTTCCGGCACATGTTGAAAACATAAGCAGGACTGGCTGGAGATTACAGCCGACCCCAAGGGCATCTAGCCAAAACCACAGAAGAAAATTAAACTTTTCGCTTAGCTCAGAGCAGAGGAGAAGAAGCTGGAGCTTTGCGAATGTTGCATGAGAACACAACGTGTGAAAAAGTGCATCACCCCTTTAAATTTAGCAAGTCAGCAAGTCTGGTTGCATTACCAAGGGAAACAGACTTCAAAGATTTGCATGTTCTTTTTCATTTTTATCTTCACAAGTAAATGCTAAATATCATAAGAGTGAATCTGTACTGGAATGAGAGATACCACTGTAAGCACACATATCACACCCATCATCCCTATATCTGATATATAATGTTGCTAGAGCTCAGTCAGCTAACTCGTCTGGAATGGATTATTATGTGAGTATAACATTAACAGCATATGTGACATCTAGGCTCATATCTTATCATTCCCCACAAGAAAACACCAAGCTTAGTACAGCAGGGAGTGGAGAGTGATGATATTAACTTTGGGGAATGTAGACTCAGAGCTGACAGGCTGCTGCCGGTGTGGAGGTGGGGCTTTTGAAATGCTCTATGAATTGCAGCAGTAGCAGCAAATGACAGCGTAGCTTTCAGCTGAGCGGTGTGGTGGCACAAGTATATCCTGCTTCAGGTGCAGCATGAACATAAGAACGTAAAGAACATGAAGGAAGTTGGCCCTTTGTTAAAAGCGTGGGTTTGAAACAGGATTTTTTCCAACCTGCGTTTCACAAAGACCAGTCCTACTCTGCCTCTGATTTGCTGGTTGGTTTGGTTTTCACATGAGGAGGGGTGAGATTGTTAGGGTTAAAAGAAAATGTCAGGGTCAGGCCAAATCAGAGGCAGATGTGCATTTGCTATGTTCTTCTTATTATTATTCACATTATAAAACAAAACATATAAAAACTACATTCTGATGTTCATAAATATCCACATTTTGTATAAGTATATTTTTAGCAGTTAGGCTAACGATGCATAGTTTATCCTCATTATTTCTTCTGCCTAATAGTTGCTAAAATAGCCACTTTTAATACGATTTTCAACTTGTTTTTTATCTGCTGTCTCTCACAGTAACTTCATGTACTCGCAGGTGTTTTAAAGGAGGCGTGGCTTGTAGCGTCTGCAAGGCTGCAGCTGGACACTTCTCTAATGGCAGGCTAGCAGTAAAAACCTGAGAAGAGCACTGAGAGGTTATGTTCACAGCCATAATGAAAAATGTGAGAAAAGGGATGTACCATGTGAGTGTTACTGTGGACTGCCTGAACAAGTTCACAGACTCAATTTCATTATTGTGACTCTAATATTACAGGAATAGATTGACATTGTGGGGAAAAGGCTTACTTGCTTTCGTGCTGTGAGCTAGATAAGAAGAGATACCCACTCTGCACTGCGAATATGTAAATGTGAAGATACAGGCAGGAAACAGTTATCATAGCTAGACCCTGTCTTGTTTATTTGTGAGCTTTAGACTTTTTAGGCCGATAAGGCAGACTAGCTCTTTCACCACATTTTCAGTCCAGAGTTAAGCGTTAATGGCTGCTGACTGTAGCTTAATATTTGACATGAGAGTGGTATTGATCTTCTCATCAAACTCTCAGCATAACGCATAGAAGTCCAAAATGACTAATGCCTAATTCCTTTAGGTATCAGTCAGAATTCCTTTATGTCAGCCCACAACAGACACATGTAAGTGTTTGATACTCAAGCATAATATGTAGTGGAGTGCATACATATGATGAAACTCCTCCCCTCACAGATTTACACAAATGACTGAAAACAAGTTACAAATAAAAACAGCTGCAATCTTAAATCTACGTTAAAAGTTGACTTTGACACTCTGTTCCCACCTCCTCTGGAGAGCTGGGGAGGAAACGAGGCTTCTCCATGTCTAGAAGCTTCTTGATACCCAGCATCACTCTTTCTCTGCGGGTCTGTCTAAACCGCTTCTCTTTGTCACACAGGGCCAGGCTGAACCGCAGGTCGAGCTTAGTACTGCAGAAACAAATAACAAAGGGTTTACTAAAATCTGATAGACAGACAATAGCTTTAACATTCTCTGCTGAGAGGCAGATTTAGGATATGTTCTCTGTGTATGTAACACTACTGAAGGATGATGAAACTGATCTTTAGGTCAGACGAGCTCTGACTCAAGGTGGTCTGATATGAAACACAACAGTCATGGCGTCTTACCCTTTACTATACGTCTTATCACAGTTATTCATTCTTAAAGTATGTGCGGTATTTCCAAACCTTCCCACTAATCACCATACAATTATACGATGGACATCATTGCGCATTGTAACCTTATATTACAGTATCCTGCTGTTACTGAGTCATGCAACCTTTAGATCTAATTTTAGTTTCTGCAGTGAACTCCTCTGGAGTTCCTCTGTATTTTGTTGAACCTGAGGCAGGTTTGCACAAGCCTTCATTCATATGACTGGTATTGCTAAAAGCTAAATTGAAACGAAACAAAAATTACTGACACAGTTTTTGGTTTTCATGGTAATACGTACCAGATCTCCAGTGACATCTCTAAGAATACTTTGGTTGCCTGTAAAAACAATGAAATATGTGGTTATTGTCCAGTGTAGGAGCAGCTTATTGTGGTTGGTAATCAGTCCCTCCGAGATTTCGTGGGCTTTCTCTGGGATTGAATGTTTGAAATTGCAAGGTCGCACAAAATTCATAGGGACTTGTTTGTGTTAATTGTTGTGACAACAACATTACAATTTCCTGGAGGGAAGGAAGTGCCACAAATAAACTGTGTGAGGTGAAAAAGAAAATAAGACAGACAAAAAAAAAATTTAAAGCGATAATGTAAATAATCGCTTTAAACTTATTTTTTTAAATCTAGAATTGGTGTGCTGTGTCTCCATACACATACACCATATCTTCTGCTGGCAATATGCCATACTATATACATACATATGTAAGATTATATAAAATGGAAAATGCCATCCACATTTCCCTGTTATCTTCACACATTTAATATCTTCAGAAGTCGGGGCATCTTTCAGTTTATATTAGTGATAACAATGCCACAACAAACACAACATGAGTTAAATGATAGTGAAACTGCCAGAGAGTCCGCTGGGGTTGAATATCTTACTTTGCCAATGAGGAAAGACTCCATCTTTGTCTGGCCTACGCTGAGCTTGGTGATATCATAGGACGCAGTCCCCAGCGTCTCATCCATCACGTAATTGGCGTCCATTAATGTTAACTGAATGGAATAAACATCAGCAGTTAAATCATTTAATACATTTCACGTTTACCTAAACAACCCATCTTCTAACCAAGATGTTGAACAATGAAACAGAAAAGCCTCAGTTTATGTACTCCTCAGGTGACCCTGAACTAATGCTTTGTTTTGTTTTTTTTGTTTTATTGACCCTTTTTTTTTTTGGCTTGAGAACTTACAAGTCAAGTCAATGATGATACAATGTATCTCATATTATCTCATATCAGGGTAAAAACGGTACACTGTATTTATGTGGGTTTGCGCTCCATTACATCCCTGCTTGTAATCCTGCACTGGTATAGACCGTGCTAGACGATAAAAGGCAGGTCTTACCTCCAGGACATTCTGCTGGTTGGGGTCTAATATGAAGGTAAAGGTCTCGTTCCACTTTGGATTGATGTCATTGTCTATGTGCTTGGTCCTCTTTCTGCTCTCTGGGGCTGTTGGGATGAACAGCTCCACATATGGATCTGGGGTGTCCACTGCACAAACACACACACACACACACACACACACACATATTCAACAGCGTTAATAAATAGCAGAGAATATCGAAGTCAAAGTATGTTTATTTTGTTGTTTTGCAAAAAGTTAATCCAAAATGAGTTTGGTGAGTAAAATAGCATGAACACATATACGTTGCTACCACATACATGCAGCATGTTAAATAAATATATGTTTTACACATGAGTAGGGGCAAAAAAGACGTATTAAGACTCACACAGGTCACCGAGCGCTCCCTTGGTGACGCTCTCGGCTCGAACAACCGTCACTGTGAATTTATGAGAAAACTGCTGTTCCACCTGCAATACAACATTCATTCAGTTCAGTTTGTCCCTCATGTGGGCAAACCACCCTAATCCTTACAACAATGATAACAAAGATTACACATTCAGATGCCAGAAGCTGAGTAAGCTAACATAACCCACACTGCAGAAGAAATAGTTAAGATCAGGGTCAATGCAGGTTCATGACTCTATCAGTGAGAACATCTGAAATTTCCGGCATGTTGACACTGACTATCATCATTTCCCAGCTGTGTTCACAATGATCAATTATTGCTTTCTCCTTGCATTTGGACAACAAAACATGCAGGATTTAACTGAAATGGGATGTAATTTTGTTGTATGGATCAGATACCGATAAAATATGGTTCCTACTGATACTTAAATGTATCTACAGGGGAAGAAGTACCAATAGCAGTATCGGAAATTCCTCCGATACTGCCTAAAATGTGGTATTGGCGAGAACTTGTGTCTGTGCACCAAACCGACACCATGTAATTTACTAGCCCTGAAACAGGATAGCAAAGTCATGAACCGCCATAATGTGACTCTGACTCTGCCAAAGGGTTTAACCTGAGCCAGGCTATACAACAATGATAGCATTCATACAGGTTTAGTTGTATGCAATTGTTCAAAAAAAATAAAATATCATATTTATAATAATACTGTATATCTATTTTTTAACGCACATGTATCTGATCGGTACTCGGTATGGGACGATATCCAATGTTCACGTATCGGAATTGGCACGAAAACTTGAAACAATGGTATCGGAATATCTTTAAGAAGAAGACTATGGGGAACAAGGTAGTAACAACTGGGCACTATTCTTGGTGGTATAGTAGTTCATCCAAAACTAAAACTGTAGTCAATCCAAAGAACCTACACTTGTAGTCTAAATTGTCTATTAGTACATTGCTGTACTCCATACACGAGCCCTCGTTATTTCCAGATTTGTGCCCCTTTTCTTTGAGCTTCCTAAGCATTGGTGAGTATACCTGTCGCCATTTTGGAAACCTGGAAACTGTTCCAGGAGGGTTTTGATAGATTTCCATAAAGCTCCTTTCATATCATAACTACAAAATACTTTGTAGGTTCTGCAAAATATCAGTGTTAACTCCATTTTTTCAAAACTTCAGGGTTTGTTCCCCCGTAGTTGTACCCTGTAGGAAACCAGCCTTTACAACAATACTTTGAATATTTAATTATCCTGTCCTCTAAAACGCCCAGTTGTTTCTGCCTTGTTCCCCATAGTCTTTCTTCCACTGTACCTACACTTAAGCACCAGCAGGAACCTAAGGAAGTATATTATTGGTAACTGATACACAAAATAAAAGTACACTCTTAATCGTGGGCTGTATTATAAAGTGTTACCAAACATAGAGTTTGAACTAAAGTCTCCATTCTTCAATTTAATAGAAAATGTGAGACATAAGTTAAAATACAGGCGTATTTAGATGTCATTAATCTCTAAACAATGTTCCTTTTGTCCTTCATACTGTAGATATCCACCCACATAGTGGATTAAGTTCAGAAGTTGGGCTTTTTTTTCTGTGGTGTTTTTGTGTCAGCCAAAACTATCAGACTTTCTTGAGAAATATTGGTATCCGTACATATTTACTGTAGTTTTAAAGTGTGCCCATTCACGCTTGTTTGTGATGGTCTGTTGCATAACTTTGGGTATGCGAATGAGAATTTGGTTTCATCTAACCGTTTACAAGTCTTTAAAATAGAAAGTGTTGTGAGACTTTTAACAGATGTAAATCTGTCCTATAGGGCTGTGAATGCCACTGTTTGATAGATTATCTCATTCTAATCTTTGCTGTTGAGGTGCTTGATGCAATACATGCACAAATGTTTTTGCTTTGGAGCAATGACAGTGAAATGCATTCTCCTGTAGAATTGAAAAATCAGCAAGCATGATGAAAACCGACTGATATCTCTTTTTTCTGCTTCAACTTGACTCAGCTTTACTGCAGAACTTACTGGAAACTACTACTGGAATTCCTGATACTCACAATTATATTGGAAGCCATTGTGTGTGGTCCGATGAGTAATTCTCAGGAAAACCTTGGTCAAGATGTGAAGTTAAACTCAGCAAAACATCTCATTCAAGAGCATTTGGAGGCTGGAAGATGAAACAAAAAAGTTTAAAATCAGTGCAAAAACAGATCACATTTACATGAAAAAAACACTATTAAATATGTGATGCTCTGAAGTTAAAAACATTGATGTGCCATTTTCCCCGAGAAGTTACCTTTAGTAAGCCTGTAAGTCAACAACATCACACCACTACAGGATCACCACAGCCTCAACAACTTCTAAGTAAGTGCTTCAGAAATATCAGTGAAGCCTTTTGCTTCTTGAGAGGGGCAAGGGGAAGTGTGCTGAGCCACAAACCCTAGATAGGAGGACTGGGCTTATAGTGACAATTCAGTGTGTGTGTGTGTGTGTGTGTGTGAGTACACCAAATGCATATGTAGAGACAAAGACAGAGAAATATGCCAGTAAAAAGCGACGTATGGCAAATGTGACTGATATTTAAAAAAAAAAAAAAAGGTGTTTGTATAACATTACATCAAGGCTTTCTCTTTGGTTGAACACACATATGATGATAAGAAATTTGCATACAGACTATGTGTGTGTATGTGTGTGTATGTGTGTGTGTGTGTGTGTGTGTGTGTGTGTGTGATAGCATATCAAGGTCAGCGAGTCCTTTCTCAGCTGTTCACCAAAGCGTATCATTACTGAGGGGACTGAGAGCACGTACAGTCTGTGTGTTCACAGCAGCGGTCACGTAGGTTGCATCAGTGGTCCAACTTTTTGAAAGTGCCAGTTCAGTCTGCCCTTGTTCTGCAGCGTACAATGAGTGCATGTAGGGCTGCTGAGTCCTGTGTGTGTGTGCCAACATCGGCCAGGACACTTCACAGCACCACATTTTCATACGAGGACGCAAAAAGTGACAAAGAGACACACAGCAAACCAGCCATGATGCAAAGCAGCTACTGGAAATATAGGACTATAGTAAGGTTCCTACTGTACAAGTGTAGTCCTGTCTGAGACATGGCAGATTAATAAGAAAAGTCTTAAGAATGAGTTTCTATAACTCACTGTGGATTTCCCAAAAGAGATATTTGAAGGGGAAAAAAAGTCATGACAGTGACTCTTGGATTACAGGCTTCATTCAGCACTTGTTATTAGGCCACTACAAACAGGTTTTGCCTGCTTCTTATCAGCTGGGCAGTGCAGGTCAGATGTGACGAGACCTGATGGTGTGAGATTTTAACATGCTATAAATGGCATGGTAGTAGGAAGTAGAGGTAGCATTAGAAGCTGTAACTGCACAAATGTAAACATAAAACATGGTAGGTAGTGTGTCAAGATACGAAACAAAAGAGATATTAATGACTATAAAGACTCGCTCTCTTCTAGGCAACTAACTTGCTCTGTTCGCTCTGATCTGCCACACTTTGTGCTTAAAACAGGATATTGCCAACTGCATTAATACAAGTACTATTGGTCTGTAAGTGTTAGCAGTAGCGCGTTTTCAGTTTCCTTATACTCTTGAGTTGCGTAAAGTGAACTGCCGAAGACGCTGGTTCAACTGGCTCAGACGTTGCTCTCCAAAATAAACTCTGTCCAATCCAAATTTGGGTGAAAACACAACACTATCTTGAAAATTAATAAAAAAGAACAAAAGAAAATGGAAACGTACCTTAACTGGAAAGCGCTATCAACTTACAAATCCTGAAAACTGTGACATGGTGATCGAGAGTATCGTCCCACCACTGCCGCTGCTGCTGTTGAGGAGGAGGTGCTACTCGGCAGATGTACAGCACGGCGCACAGTCAGTCAGTAGGGTCGCAAATTGTGAGTCAAGCTGAGGGGAAAAGTTAAACACCAAACTCCACGGAAAAAATAAATATATGTTTAAAATAAAATTTGTTTAAAAAAAAAAAAAAAAAACATGACAAGCGTTACGGAAAAAACTCCAAACAAGAGTCCGATTTTGACTCAGCGGAGAAACCTGCAAGCGGATGACTGTTCTGGGCATAAAGTGCGCAATCATGTCCACGTGAGGTCGCGAAAGGACTGACTGTGTTGACAGAATAAACAACTTTGTTATTGAATAAAAATATGACACAGGAGTGACGCTAAAGTTGATTGTAGTAGTCAGATATTACCCTTTAGGTAGATCGACCCAAACGCATGTTTAACACGGTTATAATTCAATAAAGTCCATGCAGTGTTGCCATCAAATGTTAATCAAGAAGCACTGTTAGTTTAAGTAATAATTCATTTAGACAATAAAAAGAGTGAAAGCTCACAGCAGATAATTTCTAAATAATCAAATAGTACATTATATTTATTTTTTATTTATATATGTGACATCTTGTCTTTATATATTGTCTATTTATGTGTTTTAAATGTCGCTTTAATACTGTAAACGTGGCCGTATAAGAAACATAAAAATAGTTTTTTTAAAAAGATCATAAAACGCTTTTCTATAAATCCCCATGTGAATGTGAAGAAACACACGTTCACATGTTAAAGTTGGAACTTTTCACACATTCAAAAGTTCATTTTTAAATATTTTCCTCTGAAGAAATTTGATTGAAAAAAGAAGCAAAAATAAGTAAATCAAAATCAGAATGAACGATAACCAAATAGCTTTTTTAGTGCCGAAAAAAAGAAGAAAGAATAATTATAAATTAAAAATCCAACTGGAATTGTGAAAGAAGGAATATCCCTAGTGATATTACTAATCGATTACTTTGGTTGGCCAAAAAAGGTGACGTCACCGTGCTTGTATAAAAGTGCTGTGGGAGCCGCTTTGGACATTGACACTCTCAGCCTCAGAGCGACTCAACTGCAGAGGAGAGGAGAGGAGAGACAGAGAGAGAGGAGAGAAGGAAAGCAAAAAGAAAAAAAAAATCCGACTATTTCTTTGGAGCATGAACAAACTCACATTCACGGTTTCCCTCTTGGCGCTGGGTTTTCTCATCTGCGAAGCTGGTAAGTAAAGAAAAACTGAAATGATCTGTAACAGCTTAACCAGGAGCAAGAAGTTCGGTTTTAAGTTTTGTGTTGGGACTTTTTTTTTTTTTTTGCCGTGATTTTAAACCCTTCAACAACTCACAATAGTTGACATGGATATTATAGTAATACAGCCTTTAACACTAGAAATATTTAAAATAATACCATTAAACTATGTCTTCATTGGCTTACAGATTAATGATATCATAATGTAAGGAATATTGGAGTCTTTTAAGAGGATTTAATTATATTTTAAGGTTTTCCTAAGAGATTTATGTTGGTATCCGAGCTTAAGTGAATCCTATAACCGCCTAACATTGTCTGTCTGTTGCAGGTAACCCCTGTTGCTCAGAACCATGCCAGAACAGGGGCGTGTGTACAGCGCTTGGGACAGATAATTATGAGTGTGACTGCACACGCACTGGATATCATGGACAAAACTGCACAACGCGTAAGTATGAAGGGCACACTTGAGGTGAAACAAAAATCAAAGGATGCACTTTGTTGTGGTGATTTGTCAATAATTAATTTTTCCCCTCTCTCTTGGCCTTCACAGCTGACTTCCTCACCTGGGTCAAAATATCCCTGAAGCCATCGCCCAACACTGTCCACTACCTTCTCACCCACTTCAAGGGCTTCTGGAACATCATCAACAACATTTCATTTCTCAGAGACGCCATCATGAGATATGTACTGACATGTGAGTGTCAATGGCTAACCGCAAAATGAGAAGATGGATTGGAAACTGCTTCATAAAAACATCAAATAATTTGTACAGCAGGTTGTAAAGAAGCAGTTTGAGGGCTTATTTTAATAATTAAATGTTTTTTTTTCTTTCCAGCCCGATCCCACATGATTGACAGTCCTCCAACTTTCAATGCGGATTATAATTACAAAAGCTGGGAAGCCTATTCCAACCTTTCTTATTATACACGCACCCTCCCCCCTGTGCCGGAGGATTGCCCAACCCCTATGGGAATTGCAGGTGAGTCTCTGCCTTTGGAGAACCAGTTTTCTGAGATTCTTGAATACTGAGTAAGAGTCTCTTGGCCCCATTACATCAGGGGAAGTGCACACATTGAAATCATCCCTTCTGCTGGATTGACAGAGTGGAAATGTGCTGAGGGAACACAATAAAAAACCTGCCCCAGCAAGCCAAAACTAAAGAACACGAAACTGTTTTTTCAGATTTTCTTTTATGCTGAACTTCAGAAAAAAACTCAGGAATTTACAATGAAAGTAAACTTCAGTTTCAGTTCAGTTCAGTTCAGTTCAGTTTTATCCTCATTAAACTGACTATGTTCTGGATTTTAGTCTTGTTTGCTTACTGTCATGTTCTTAATTGTTTCCCCAGGTAAAAAGGAGCTTCCTGATGCTAAAGTCCTTGCTGAAAAGCTTCTCTTGAGAAGACAGTTTATCCCGGACCCACAGGGCACCAGCCTGATGTTTGCATTCTTCGCACAGCATTTCACCCACCAGTTCTTCAAATCTGATATGAAGAAAGGACCTGCTTTTACTGTAGCTAAAGGCCATGGGGTAAGCACAGCAGATTTCAAGCCACATAAGAGTTTAGTCAGTAAAGGCAGACAAAGAGACCACATTTATAAATGCAGAGTTTATTAATGGTGTTGTGTTTGCTTTCAGGTGGACCTCAGCCACATTTATGGAGACAAGTTGGAGAGGCAACACAAGCTCAGACTCTTCAAGGATGGCAAGCTTAAATATCAGGTATGAGAAGAGACAGCTGTAACATAGTTTAAACAGCCAAATGCCTCAGACCACATAAGTGTCTAAAAGTTGCTTCCTCTATTCCGTAACTCTGCAGATGGTGAATGGAGAGATGTACCCCCCAACAGTAAAGGAAGTGGGTGCTGAAATGCACTACCCTCCTCATGTTCCTGAAGCTCACCGCTTCGCTGTGGGCCACGAGGCGTTCGGCCTGGTCCCCGGTCTGATGATGTACGCCACGATCTGGCTACGGGAACACAACCGGGTGTGTGATGTGCTGAAGGAGGTCCACCCTGACTGGGACGACGAAAGGCTTTTCCAGACTTCACGGCTCATTCTGATCGGTAAGTTTATTGGATTCTGACAACTGCACAAAAATTTAAAAACATTTGCTGTAATGTATCTGGGAAAATAATAACAAGAAAGGCATGTGATGCTCTTGCCATGGTACTAATATAGTTACCAAGGGAGTTATAAAAAGAGGAAGTTGTACTTTTTATTTTGGTAATCACCTACTAGCAACCATGCTGCACACAGTGGAGCATTCACACGCTACTGTGAAAAACAGGATTTACTGAAAAGCTTAACAGGAAATGTTTAGTTTTTCATTGCAAACCGTCACTAAATATTTACTGTAACAAATCATCTCCAAAATAATGTGAAACTGGCCTTCATATTAACATTTTTATCAATTTGTCCTGTAGGAGAGACCATCAAGATTGTGATCGAGGACTACGTGCAGCACCTGAGTGGCTACAACTTCAAGCTCAAGTTTGACCCCGAGCTGCTGTTCAACCAGCGCTTCCAGTACCAGAACCGCATTGCATCCGAGTTCAACACCCTGTACCACTGGCACCCACTGATGCCTGATAGCTTCCACATTGAGGAGAAAGACTACAACTACAAACAGTTTATCTTCAACAACTCTGTAGTGACTGAGCACGGCATCAGCAACCTTGTGGAGTCGTTTTCCAAGCAGATTGCAGGACGGGTAAGAACAGTGTTTAGATTTAAAACTGTAACGTCACTGTTAGTGTCACTACTGTAAGCCTGATTAACTGACTTTCCATTCATTCTTTTAGGTTGCTGGTGGTAGAAATGTTCCAGGACCTGTCATGTATGTGGCCATTAAGTCCATTGAAAACAGCAGACAAATGCGCTACCAGTCTCTGAATGCCTACAGGAAACGATTCTCCATGAAGCCCTACACTTCTTTTGAAGACATGACAGGTGAGTCAAGATTAAAACCATATGTACAGATGGAAAGGTTGACATCAGAAGATTAGGGAAGAGGCTATTATCAACATGAAGTGAAAAGAAATGTTGCCTCAGGCCAAATTATTCTTTTATTATAAATAGCATTGTCATGAAGTAATTACAGGAATTATATGCAAGCTGGAGAAACACTCCTCTACAGATCAAAGCTTATATAATAGATTACTTATTATTAAAGAAATAGTTTCAGTCCCCAGCAGCTTTGGAGGTCAGGAATCTATTTGCATGACTCTAAGAACCAGATGTTCATCCTGAGATACTGTAAGCAGATTGTCATCACAAGAGAGCAAGACATAAACAGACAGGAGAGACCTCCTACTTCAGAGGAGATTTTAAGTTCACAAAAACTAGGTTTTAATGTTGATTAAAAAACTAAGTGTGATGTATGAGGAGAGAGAAATATCAGCACCTGTGTGCTTGTAAGAGAAACAAAAAGAAGGAAGTAAAGGAAAGAAGAGCGATTGTGTTTATCTCCTACTTGCTGGGTTTGAAGCAGTCAAAACACGGAGCTCATATTTTGACTAGCAGCAAGGTTTACAGCTGCTGACAAGAGAGAGAGAAGCCAGACTAACTAAAACTTCTCCCTCCTTTGTGTTACTCAGGAGAAAAAGAAATGGCCGCATTGCTCGAGGAGATGTACGGACACATCGACGCTGTGGAGCTCTACCCAGGACTGTTGGTGGAGAAACCCAGGCCTAATGCCATCTTTGGGGAGACGATGGTGGAGATGGGGGCCCCTTACTCCCTCAAGGGCTTAATGGGAAACCCCATCTGCTCACCAGAGTACTGGAAGCCCAGCACATTCGGAGGCACCGTGGGCTTCGACATTGTCAACACCGCCTCCCTGCAGAGGCTTGTCTGCAATAACGTCCAGGGCCCCTGTCCCGTGGCGTCCTTTCATGTGCCCGACGTTAAAGATACGGGATCCATGATCATCAACTCAAGCACATCACACTCAAGCAGCAGTGATATCAACCCCACAGTCA